TGGCTCTCATACTAACATTCTATTGATTAAATTAATTTAGTTTCAGAGTTACAGATCAAAACTTATTTGCAGGTGTTTCTAACTCCAACCTAACCTAACCTATAGAAAGACCCTAAATTAGCAGAATCTACAATTCTCATCTCTAAGAATTTATCTTTTGGACCCAGTGCCATAACCTAGTGGCTAAATCCTCACCTTGCACATACCAGGATTCCATATGAGCACTGGTTCATGTCCTGGCTGCTTCACTTTTTATCTAGCTCCCTGCCTGCGGCCTGGGAAAGCAGCAGAGGATGGCCCAAAGTCTGGGACCCTGTGACTGCATGGGAGACCTGGAAAAAACTCCTGGCTCTGGATCGGCTCAGCTCCAGCCATTGCAGCCACGTGGGGAGTCAATCAGCAGGCACAACATCTTTCTCCCTGTTTTTCCTTCTCACTGTAAATCTGACTTTGCAATAAAAACAAACAGAAAATAACAGAATTTATCTTTTCAAGAATTTTTAAGTGAACAGCAACATAATGTCAAGGTAATATATTTACATTGACAGCTCCTTCCTGTTCTGGCATAATTTGTAAGCTTAACTAAACTCACAATAAAGACATACAAATACAGTTCACTGTTCCCATAATATGCCTGAAATGCTTATCACAGAACTGTACTTTCTGAAGATATTTATAACCAAGTTTTCTTAGTTAACAGATACATTTGCCATCATTTCATGGATCATTTCAACATGAAATCATACAGTCACTATGTCAGCAAGGCAACAGGCTTAAGTCCTGGCAACGACAGTGCCTTGTGTACAGGCAAGGGGACAGGAATATTTATACCACAGATTTGTTACAAAGTCGTATCAACACATTCAGATGGCAAAAATCTGGCCGCAGCGACAGGACCAGGGTATAAACACTGATTTGTTCTTCAAGCATGCCTGGCCCTGTTCTCCTGTTTTTTCGGTTAACTTCTTCATTTCTCAAGGCCAAGAAAACCACAGAACTGAAGTAAGACCCACTGGCACGGTCAAGTGACTCCTTCTGTTCTCAGCCTACTGCATCACATCATAGTTTTTGAGAACAAAAAGGAAAAGAAATTACCAGGTTTCTAAAGAATTCCCTCCTAACCACATGCAAGAGAATGATTAGATACAGCACTTTGCAAATAAGTAACTCCTTCTTTTTAAGCTAATGTAAGCACACTGAAGTTAAAAAAAAACCTTCACTCCCAAACAAAAAGTATAACAATAAATGATAAAGCAAAAAGTTACAGTCCCCTTTTCTAACCTAAATTCATCAAAAGAATCATTAACTTATATTTTTCTACCAAACACTACAATCATTCAAAAGAGATAATTCAGCAAAACCCAGATTCAATAGAATGCCTCTAAATCAATTTGATGTCCAAAAGGAATCAAAGCTACAGGGACTAGAATGATGGCTCAACAGGCTAGTCTTCCACCTGCAAGTGCCAGCATCCCATGTGGGCAATGGCACAAATCCTGCCTGCTCCACTTCTGATTCAGCTCCTTGCTTGAGAAAGCAGCTCCTTGCTTTGGGAAGCTGTAGAGGATGGCCCTCGAGTCCTTGGACCTCTACACTCATACAGGAGACCTGCAAGAAGCTCCAAGTTTCTGGCCTCAGATCAGCTCAGCTTTGGCTATATTTCTGCTTGTGGAGTGAACCAGTGGATCTCTTTCTCCACCTCTCTTCTTTGAAAACCTGCATTTCCAATAAGAATAAATAAATCATAAATCATAGGGAAAAAAAGAATTAATGCTACAGAAACTCTAAATTTTAAAAAATGAATTCAATCCTCACTAACAACACACATGAAGAAAATGAAAGGAGTAAAATCTGAAGACAGGATTCTGCCTACAAACGGTGATCCAGGCACCCCCAGCTAGTGACAGCACAGATAACACCAGACTCAGATGCAAAAATCTTAAAAAACTAACTAGTTAATCTAGCAATCTTTAAGACAAAATAATAACCACATCTATTAGGACAGCTGAAATGTAACAATGTCTCCCAAACAATGCTCAACTTTTAGTTCTCATAAAAGCTACAAAGATATCTCAATTAGTTATACCAAAGTTTTAAAGAAATACTGAAGGATGTACTGATTTACAAAAGAAACATGCTTATAAGCAATTGTGCTCTGTGAGTCTTTACATACAAGGCATGTCCTACTGAAATCAAAACTGATTTATCTAACTCTCTCTTCATGTTCTGTCACAGCATTCACAATGGCTGCTTCAGCCTTAGAAAAACTGCTCTACCATAAAGCTGATTTTCTTTACAACTAAGTGCTTAGGAGAACTGACAAAGGGGGGGTGGGAGGGTGCGGAAATCAAACGACCATAGCATTTTAATAAACTAATTGTACAACTCCATCTAATACTTTTTGAAAAAATTCCTCAGTAACATTAAGAAGTAACCTTACTAGAAAAGTCTTCTGTCTCAGTTGAGTTCAGCAAATTTCACAGGCCAAGCCTTACTAGATGCTAAGTGTGAAGACAAGATCTCTGGAGGAGCTCAGGCTGTGAAGGGAAGCAGACACCTCCACAGGGCAGGCACTTGGCCCTCAGCTGACCACCAGCTTGGGCTGCCCGCATCCCTCACAGAGTGCCTGGGTTTGAGTCTGGGCTCTGTGTCCACCCCAGTTTCCTACTAAATGTGCAACCGGGGAGACACCAAGAGATGGCTCGAGTACTTGGGTCCCTGCCACCCACATGGGGAACCCAGATGGATTCCAGGCTTCTCGCTTTGATCCAGACTGACCTTGGCTGCTGCCTGCATCTGGGGAATGAACCAGTGAATGGGAGCTCTGTCTCTCTACCTTTCAAGTAAATAATAAAGAAGGAAAACACCTGGACAGACAGTTACACAAGGCAAGCTTCTAATTAGAAACATTGTTTCTAATTAAAGGAATGGAAGCTAATCTCTTAACCACCTCAGCTAAGAGTGAAGTCTACCACTTCCCGGTCTAATGCTGATTCCTCTGAGCATTTGAAGGCAACAGTCTATACACATCAATCCAAAAGCTCTTTGGAATCTCCTGAAGGTGAAACAGTAGCTGTCCATTTACCAAGTACAAATGCTTGATTAAATGAAAAGGCTAATAATTTTGCAAAACCTAACACCGACTAAAAAATTTTGACAGGCAAACATCCTATGAGACCTGTGGCTAAAGTCTAACAAAGACTGCACCATGCACCAGGTCATGTTACACTTTCACAAACTACGAAATGAAATTAACTTATTTCTACTAAACACATACCCACTGCCATCAGTTCTCTGGCTTGCATGTACATGGTACTATGCCTTCTATCAAGGCCCTCTGTGGGCCCACTGTCCCAGCAACACTAGCTGCCAACTATAAACATCCTGTAGCCTCATTTTTTCCAGATCAATGAACTACAAATGCTATCTGTACAGTATTTGCAAAATACTACCTGAGTAATTGCTCCTCAAATCTGTCAAAATGATTACTCCAGTTTCCAAGAGATAATTCCCTATGGGAGCCACCAGTGACACGAGGACCTGGTGGTTCCTGGACTATGATGAACTCATTTCTCCTTTTACCTGCTCTCTTTTTAACTTTTTAAAATTTGTTTTAATCATCTTACTTAGATGACTAGGGTACAAAGGGTCAAGGGCTACAGGAAAATGGGTAAGACTATTGTTTCCACACTAATATCATCATTTTCTTTTTTTCCCCCGTATCTGGTGTCAGGGGAGAAACAAAGGAAAAACCCCACCCAGCCTCCCACCCATCCCAGGTCCCTGATGTGGGGCATGCTCTGAGGGTCCTGCTCAAGCAGTTTTGATAATTTAACAGTTCTGAATTGCTGCCAATATCGCCATTCCAAGCACGATGAAATCTCTTCAGAATCCACTGGCTGACAGTCTCTTCATGGCTGGGGCTCTGAGCAGTTTAGTTGAAGGGATCTCCAAAGAAACTTTGTCTGAGGTGATCCCAGACCTGATTCTTGTGTGTGCTTGCTAGTACAGGGTCCAGCACCGTCCGGCGCCCCAACCAGCTTATGCTGGTCATTGCAACTGCTGGGTCAGTTCTGTTTCCAGCCTTGTCTTCCACGCAAGAACCGGTGGGTGTTATAGTCCAGTCCGATCCTGCCCTCTTAACCCAGAAACTTGCACTGACCCTATTTCTACCCCGTGATCAACCCAAGCTGTGAAAGTGGAACCAGTTCATGGTGTGAGTATCTGTAAGGCTCCAAGTGCCCACACTCCTTTTCAAGCATGTCATGTTTAAAATGTAAAGGCAGTGTGTTCAGTACTAAGGATCTAAATGTTAGCATTTAAACTTATGAAAGAAATACCAAAGGGGGGGAGACAACAAAACACATCGCTACCAGTAGAAGAAATACGAAGGGTATCTTTATTTTCAGAATTATTCCTTTCACTACCTTTCTCAGACATCACTTCCTCTTCATTGCTTCCCCCCGGACCTGGAGGCGAAATCAGTGACAAACACAGCTCCTCGCTTCTCAGAAGGATCCGTTGTACATCAACCAGAAAGCCCCCAAACCACAGGACCCATCACCCTCGTGGGATCTGACGCTAGCATCTCCAAGGCTTGTTTTCTGTTTTGACATTTCCTCTTCCCAATCTCCCCCACCCCCATGCCATGCAGTCTCAGCCCTGCCCACGGCGACCACCTCCCCCAGCCTGCCCGGGATGACGGCGCCCGGGTCCTGCTCCTCCCATTCCTCATCTCTCATAGCCACAGCCAGGAGCATCTCCTCTGAGCTCCAGGTGCCGCCTTCTAAAGCCCCAAGCCCTCTCCGGGGAGTCCTTCCGCGGGACCCTCGGGCCCAACAACCTCCATTTCCCCCGGATTCCATTCTAGAGCTGACTCTCCGGGTTCCCTCAACCGTCTCCGCGCGGCCCCTCCGCAGCCCCCGGCTCCATCCCTCACTGCCCGCTCCCAGCACCCCGACTCCGCCGCCCGTCCAGCCCAGCCCCCGGCCACCGCTCACCTCCGCCGGCTGTGACGGGCTCTCGGGACCCAGATCCGAGTCGGCGTCCGAGCCGCCGTCGGAGTCCGGGGCCCTCCGGGGCTCGCCGGAGAGGAGCACCTCGCGCGGCGGGGGCGGAGCCCGGGGCGGGGAGCCCGAGGGGAGGCGGGCGCGGTGGCGGCTGCGCGCAGGCATCGCTCCGGCCCCCGGCACCGCCGCGCCGGCAGCAGCTCCCGAGCCGAACCGGAACTGCTTCGGGAGGCGGGGTCCTACCGGCGGGGGGCGGGGTCCTACCGGCGGCGCGGGGCGGGGCCAGGGCCGGAAGGGACGCGAGCTTCCAGAAGGGCCGGAGAGGAGAACGGCACGGCGGGGGAGCCCGACGGCGCATGCGTCAGGCCAAGCCCCGTGAGGACAGCGGGGGGCTGGTGGGGATGCACAGCATCTCGACGCGGGACTGAAGGCTGAGCAGGAAAATAGCCCGGCGTCAACCTCCAGTGATCACTCAGTGTTATCGCTGAGCGTCCCTTGGCCCTGTGTCTGCGCCAAATGTCATACGCCTGTATCATTTAATCCTTGCACCAAAGCTACAGGGTAGATCTTTCAACACTTTCAAGTCCAAGAAACATGATGTCTGACACATCACGCTTAATATGTGCCCGAGCTGGTATGACAAGCCAAATCCGTCTAACATCAGAATCTGTGTTATTCACGCTTCTCTGAGGACAGTCTTCCCCCCACCCTGGGCCGGGCACTGGCATGAACCGGGCACTGGGCCAGGGGTGATCTGGACTGTAGCCTTTCTTAGACCTCGGCCTAGACCAGAGCCACGTGCAGCAGGGTGGGAGAGCCGGTTCTGCGGAGGACAGGAGTGCAGACCACTTCCCTGAGAGCAGGCCAGGGGCAGCTGGGACCCTCCCCGCTGTGGGGGCTGTCCGCCCAGCCCCATGGAGGAGGAGACACCTTTGGCTCTTCCACCAATAGGCAGTGTGGGCAGGAGGACAGACAGAGCTTCATGTTTCCAACCCATTCGGGTGGGGGACAGTCCCCACCACCATCCTGAAAACACTCTTAGTGAGAAGTGGGCCTTTGGTTCCCAGTCTGGGTCAGCACCCATGGCCCTTCTCGCTGCTTGGCATCAGAGGGCTGGGTGCAGCCCCCTTTGCTCCAAGCCCACTGCCCAGGCATGTTCCTGTGAACCTGGTCTTTGGGGGAACAACGCGGGGAGTGTCGTTCATACAAGTGAGTCTCCCTCATGTTACCCTGACTCTAGGCCTTGGAAAGCCACACCTGCTTCATAGTCCAGAGCCTGGCTTAGCAGATACCCAGCACCTGCACCATCCATCCCTGGAGCTGGCTACTCCGCTTGGGCCATGGGCTCTGCTTCAAGCCGGCGCTCTCACAGCACTTCCCTGAGGTGGGTGTGATGTATCCCTGCTTTACAGATGTGGAGACAGGTTGAGCGAACGAGGCAGAAGTTCTCAGAATTCAGGGAGAATGGGAGAAAGACTGGTTGGGGAGGAAAGGGCATCCCATCCTGACTGGAAGCTCCTAGGACCTGCTGAGTCATTCACTGCTGTCCCACCTGTCCCTGCCAATCTCCAGGAAGGAGAAATGACACCAGCTGGGCACAGTGTGGTGACCGCAGGGGCAGAGGGGTGGGCAGGCTGGCCCATGGCTGAGGCCCGGCTCCCGGGGCAGGGGGAAGGTGCCGAGGCCACACCTGGCCCCAGTGTCTTGGAGCTTGAGGAGCTCCTGAGGGCAGGGAAGGCCTCCTGCAGCCGCGTGGATGAAGTTTGGCCCAATCTTTTCATAGGAGATGCGTGAGTGGTAGCTGGTACGGGGGTGTGGGAGTGGGACCAAGGACTGCCAGTTCCTGAGCTTGTCTGCCAGGCATAGAGAGGCGGTGGATGGGAACAGGCAGAATCCCATCTGTGCTGAGCATCCGGGGTCAGGGCCTTTGCCCAGGAACCCCACAGTCTGGGGACCATGCAGTGACCAGGCAAGACCACCAGGGGAAACAGGCTCCTCCTGCCTGAAAGCTGGGCACTTCACAGAGCCCAGAGTGCTCTGGCCAGTCAGGGGTGAGGGCAAAGGATGGGAGGCTGGGGAATCTGGGGAATGTTATTTGGGGTGTGCGATGTTGTAGACAAAAAACCTTCTTTTTCGTTTGAGCATCTGTCCCCAGAGTGGGTGGAGAAGCCTGACTAGGATATGAATCAGGCAAGGGGTGACCTGTAGGTGCAGGGTGATGAGCAGGGGCAGCCAGGAAATGCGTGGGAGGCCATGGGGCAAGACAGGAGGGGCTGAAGCAATCCTGGCCTTCCCATCCTAGCTAGGAACATGTCACCAGGGAAGCAAAGAGCATCTGAAACTAGCCTCTGCACCATCACCTCTTCCACCAGGCCCCAGTGGGAGCTTTCTGGGTTCCAGCCCCCTTTGGACCCTCAGGGCTCCACTCCAGACTTTTGAACTGGGGGTGGGGGTGGGACAGGCAAAGTCCCTTCCTGTCCTCCACGGCTCAGCCAGCAACCAACCCGTCACTGCCCTCCTCAGGGCCACGGCAAACAACCGGTACGAGCTGTGGAAGTTGGGCATCACGCACGTGTTGAACGCCGCGCATGGAGGCCTCTACTGCCAGGGGGGCCCTGACTTCTACGGCAGCAGCGTGACCTACCTGGGGGTGCCAGCCCATGACCTCCCTGATTTTGACATCAGTGCATACTTCTCCTCTGCAGCGGACTTCATCCACCGCGCGCTCAGCACACCCGGGGGTAGGAACTGGGCTTTGAGTCCTTGGCCCATCTGCTCAGTTACGGGAAAGGGCCCCGCTTCCCCCTCAGACTCTAGGTCTACCCCCCTCAAAGCTTCACAGGTGGGAAAGTGAGTGCAGCCCTGGGGCTGGCTGGCGCCCGAATCCCAGCAGGTGCACAGTGGCTCCCGCTCTGTGGCACTTGGTTATGATCACTTTATATTTCCATGTCTAACTCAAAGCGCTTCCAAATGGCAAACAAACCACAGATACATTGGGTCCCTCAGAGGGACCTGCTCTCCATCCCCCTCCCCACTTTGTGTTCATCCTGGGAGATAGCCGTAGCCTTGATTCATGCCTCCTCCCTGGACTTGAGTTTCCTCATCTGTGGAATGGGTATGACAAGACTAGAGCTGACATATATGGAGCTCTTTTACACTCTATTCTTCATTCATTTGCTCACTGGCCATTTACTTGACATCTACCATGTGCTGGGTACTGAACTAAATTCTGGGCATCCAGGCTTGGGGTCCTGCCCTACAGACTGTGCCACCATGTGTCTGGGGGAAAGAACAGTGAGGTAGCACAAAGGTTATTCCTGTGAAGGAACCAAATGCAACAAGCATGTGTATATGTGTTTAGCATCTGAAAAGTAAAGTGACAGGTGATAAACACACACACACACACACACACACACACACACACACAAAATCTTCCATCTGCTAATTTACTCATCAAATGGTTGGGACTATGTTAGGGGCTGAAATCAGAAGCCTGGACCTCCATCCACTCTCTCACATGGGTGCAGAAGCCATCCCAGCCACATTAGTAGAGAATTCTATCAGAAGTGGAGCAGCTGGGGACTTGAACTGGCACTCTGAAAAGGCAACGGTTTAACCCAGTGTTCCACAGCACCATCCCTGGGAGGTGCATTCGATGGGCAAGTGTGCATGCACACTCATGGAACCTTATAACAACAATGATGAGTTTGCTCTTTGATTCAAGCAACACTTGGTGTAGCCCAGAAGGCCTGTGGGAGGAAACCAGGTCCCAGGCGACTCCTGATGATGAGTGGCCGAAGCTGGACAGAGCAAGGTCATAGGAGCATTTTCCAGGTAGTTGGAATGGCAAGTGGTCAGGTGGGCTATCAGAGGCTGTGACGGTTCCCAGCAACTGGAAGTCATATCCCATTCCTAGGGCTGAGCATGGCTGGCACTGTGGGAGCCTCTGGCGGACTCCCGGAGGGCCATGCATGCTGTATGCAGGAGTCAAGACTGCTTCAGGACAGGCAGAGCTGGTATTGGTCTACCCATCTGACAAATCAGAAAACTGAGGCCACAAGGGTGGGATGACTTGTCCAGGTTCACAGGCATGTGCCCCAGGCAAAGTGGGAGAGAAGAATCCTAGCTGGGTGGGGGGTGGGGGTGCAGCCTCTGGGAAAGGGTCTCTCTCACTGGGCTGTCTCCCACAGCCAAAGTCCTGGTGCACTGTGTGGTGGGTGTGAGCCGCTCCGCCACACTGGTGCTGGCATACCTCATGCTGTGCCAGCGGCTATCCCTGCGTCAGGCTGTGATCACCGTGAGGGAACACCGATGGGTCTTCCCCAACCGGGGCTTCCTCCACCAGCTCTGCCAGCTGGACCAGAAACTACGGGGAGCTGGCCACAGCTGAGGAGCCAGGTAAGCAGCCACCAGGGGAAAAGCTAGGTAAGGGTGGGTACAGTGAGAAGGGCCATACTGAGGTAGGATGAACAGGGATGTCTGTGGGGCCTGGGCTGTGCAGGGGCCTGGGGTGGGCATGTTTAGGTCATGTGTTGCTGCAGGTGCCGGGGGCTGGTCCACTCCCCATGTTGCCAGGCTCCTCTCCCTAGCTAAAGCCTGACTAAGGACCCAGCCACAGCAGCCTGTCTCATCTCCTCCAGGCCACCCAGACTCCTGAGAGAACAGAAAAGGAAAGACAGGAATGGGAAGCCTTAGATGGAAGAGGGATGCTCGCATCTGCTCCAAAGGCTGCCTCATGGCTTTCCTGCTGCTGCTGAGACCCTGCCCACTGTGGCAGCAACAGTGAAGGCTTCTGATGTTGCACTAGGGGATGGGGTCACCCCAAGCCTCCTGTCCTCAGGTGCTAGGAGGGAAGAGCTGGGGTGCCGCAGCAAAAATTCTGCTCACAAATGCTCATGGGGTCCTGCTGCTTCCCTGCCTCTTCGATGAAATCACCTGCCTTGGGAAGAGAGAGCAGAGTGGGGGGTGGGCCTGACCTCAAGAATTTTAGTGAAGCTACAGAGTGTCCAGCACCCAATGGTTTGCAGAGGTGTCAGCTGTGGTGGTGGGGGGGACTGGCTGAAGCTCCCCCAGCAGCTACAGGGCACTGCTTTCTCCTCTGCCCCCAGGGTCCCTGGCGAAGGCCTGAGCCCATCCCTGGACCTCTGTGTGTCTCTGAATGCATAGCTAGACTGGGTATACCGGGTAGCTGCAGGGCACAACCGCGAGCAGGAAAGGTATGTCAGGGAAGGACTGGAGGCTGGGCTGAGAGTTGAGGTGAGTGTGATGGGAGGCAGGGTTACAGATGGTATTACGATGACACTGAGGGCCACACTAAGTAGTGGGGTGTTGTTTAGAGCTCTGTGCCTAGGGAGGCAGGAGGGGAGCTTGTGTTCCTCCATGGCATTGGCCCGGCCCCAGTCTGCTCACTCTCTTCGGGATAGTAGTCAGGAGCCTGATCATGCAGTCAACCTTCCCCAGCCTGGGGCCTTTACACACCCTGAACTCTGACCTTAGCACCTTTCCCCTCAGGCTGCTAGCTTTGGGGAAGTCACTTGCGCAGGGTGGCAGCTCGGAGCAGTTCATGGGGGACCCATCCAACAAACTCTTTTTGTAGATGGAGCTGTGAAGACCTGTGCAGTGCACAGCCCATTCAGCTAACCCTGGGGCTTCCTACTCCGAGAACAAAGCCACCATGAGGTCACCTCTCTCTCTAACCCACAGATACCAAATCTGCTTCATCTGTCCCAGCACCTGCCTTTACTTGACATCACACACAGGGCGTAAGGCAAAAGCAGGTTTAGGTGACAGCAAGTCCCAGCCAGCACCTGTCATTTCTGCCTGTGACACAGAGCTTTTCTCTCTCCCAGAGCCCAACCTCCCTTCCTCTCCTGAGGCCCTGCCGCTTGGCCAGCCTGGCCCTGGCCCTACTGCTGCTGCTGGAGGCTCTGACCCAGGTGGATGCCCGCAAGATGATAACAGCCCAGCCTGGGACCCGCCCACGAGCCATCTGCTTTCTCCTGGGGCCTGCGCCCCACCTCAGCCACAGTCTTCAGGCCCCTCAGGTGGGAGTGAACCACCCTCTCAGTCCCCGCCCTGATGCTCCAGGGGCCCCAGTCTCCTGGCAGAGAGATACAGGGCAGGGGACAGCAGGGGTAGACTCAGGGAGCCATGCATGGGCTGAACCCCCGGCTTCCTGTCAGCACCTGTGCTGGAGGCCCCTTGCAGGTGCAGCAGGTGTGGCCACGCCCACGGGGTGCAAATGGGTAGGAGGAGCAAGGCCTCCGGCATGGCAGGGCCTCTGGATAACACAGAACGCTCCCAGGAGATCAAACGCTGAGATCAGTCTCGGGAGTCCTCTTGAAGACGTCCTCACTGGCCCAGCAGGGTCCAGTGGGCATTCCTGGGTATCCCTCCTTTGGCGGGGGAGGTGAGGGTGGGGAGGAGGGTGGGTGTGGCTTCTGTGCACACTGGTGTAAAGCTCACTTCTACCTGGCTCTGTTTGCCTACCTGCTCTGCTTCTCCCTTCTCAATCTGCGTCCTGCCTGGGTAAAAAAATCCCATCCACGCCACCCACACGAAGGGCCCCTGCACCTGGGTTTGGATGCTGGCAGGGCCACCAGCTTGAGTGTGACTCTATCTAGTCTCTCCCTGCCCTCCTCTGTGGGCTACCCTGCCAGCTTTGATTCCCGGCCCTTGCTGCATGCTCACCCTGGCGGCCAGGGGACCTGTCTGAGCCATGTTGACTCGCTCTTCCCTCTCCCTGCTGTACTGCCAGAATATGTGGAACCCCTCTCCCAACCAGACCCCTGTCAAGCTGCAGCTCCTTCGAGCAGGCCAGGATGAAAGCTTGGCCTGAGAGAGGAAGGCATCTGGCTGGGTTTGTCCCTGAGTGGGCCTTGGACTAGTGGGTAGGCTGGGAGTGGCGGGGAGAGGTCGGTGGAGGGGAGCACACAGCATGCTTTACCGTCCGACTCAAATCAAAAAATAGAAACAGCATCAAGTGTGCAGAGCTGGGCGCCTGGAGGCTGGCCTTGCCCACCGCCTGTCAGAGGAGATCACAGCCTGCGCCGGCTACCTCCCCAGGTGGGTGCGTGCTGTTTGGGAGAGGGGAGCATGCTGGGTAAGGAGGGCCAGGGTGCCTGTGTTGGGCAGGAGTGGGGACTGGGTTGGGGAGGGGAAGTGCCCAACTAGGTCAGAGATCACAGTGTAACAGAGCACAGGCTTGTGGCCTTGGTTGGATCCAGTGTTCATGCTTGCTGAGTTCCTCTTTCCTTGTCTGTGAACTGGGGACGATAACATCACCTGCTTCCTAAGGACACTCTGGGGACTCAGGGAGAAAAATACAGGTGGGTGAGTCAGAGCACATCCTTGCTAAGTGCTGAATTGCACGGTCACTGCTAGACAGGGGAAGCCACACGTCTCCCCGCAGCAAAGCTGCCCTCGCCAGGCTACAGTCTGGGCCTGATGACAGCAACGGCAGGATGCTCACCTGGCACTTGACAACCACCACCCCCTGGAACTCCTGGAACTCTCTGGGCAGCCCTCCTGGAGACCCTGGCTGGGAACATGTCATAGGGACGGGAGGGCCAGGCCTGAGAAGTCTGTTGAGGTCTGTGCTTGCTTCTGACAGCAGCTGGCCACCATCTTAGAGGCTTCTTACCCCAGCCCCACCTGGCCTGTGCCCAACCCTGTGGAGAGGAGGTAGTGCGGGACCAGGGCAACCACAGCAGATGGTGAGCCCTATAGCTGTGCATGCCCTAAGGAGGGCTGGGCCATGGCCAGGCCAGGTGCACTAACCAGTGTTCAGGGGTGCTGCAAAGGCTATGAGCTCCCTGGAGGCAGGAGGCAGACAGAGGTAAGTAGGGAGGGTAGCCCACAGGGAAGGAGATATCAGAGATGGAGACAGAGACTGCTGGAGGCACTTGTCAAACACAGTGGCCTGGGAGCAGGAAACCATGACCTACGCAGGCCGCTGCCCACTGGAGCGGGAGCAGGAAGTTGGCCAGTGGGAAGTCAGTGAGTCAACTGAGGACTTGATTGGATGGAGAGTGGCAGGGCAGAGCCTGTGCTCCTGGGCGCTGGGCCCATGGAGAGATGTGTCTGTAGGAAGGGCCAGGCAAGGCCACCACAGGCCAGTGCTGGGTCCTGCTCAGCTCTGGTTATGTTAAGAGCTTGATAGATGAGTCACAGGGCCACTGGGCTTGACTCCTTGGCTGACAGATGGGCTGGGCCCCCTGTAGGGCAAAGTGAACGGGGTAGGGGTAAATCATGAGACCCCTAGGTGGGACCCATGAAGCAGTAGCCTTTCGTGCAAGGGAAAGCCATATTCTCCAGACCTAAGCCTTGATCTCCCTGGAGGTTGAGACCTGAATTGTGGCCTGGCACTCCCTAATCCTTGACCCCTCTGCACCTTCATTTGGGGAGTTTGGTTCAGTTTTCTGCTTTAACAGCATTGGCTGCCAATTCCCTGGCACAGCTGGGTTGCAAGGCACCCAATGGGCCACGAGAGGGCAGTCGTACCCCATGCCAAGTTCTTGAGGCTGAAGCGCTGAGCCTGCCAAGCTTCTCAAAATCCCATCTGGTTGCACCTGAGGCTGCCGCATGGACGCCTGGTGGTTCCAGGCCAGTGGAAATGTTGGACTCCTCTGGGGCCTGAGAGTTTCCCTTCTCAGCCCCAGGGTCCTGCAGGTACAGCCCACTCAGACACTCCACTGTACTGTCAGGTGGGACCCCAGAGAATCCAGAAATCCACACTGGGATCTCCAGCAGGACCAAGAGAGGCTATGGGCCAGACATGTTGGAGGCCACAGAATGAGCCATGGCTGAGCCTCAGAGGGTGCCACTGTCCCCCACTCCCTCTAAAGGTCTCTACCCACCATTTCAGGCAGCCTCTGTCTCTCGGGGACCAGGGGGCAGTTAGGTCAAAGGCCTTTACACAAACATTCCAAGCACAGAGAAAGCCCCAGGTTCCTTGAAGCCTGTTCTGCTCTCAGCCCCACCCCCCTGGAATTCTGGCCGCTTCACAGGGTCTGTGTTCTGGGCGGAGCCTGCCCCCGGAACTGCCCCAACCTCAGCCCCAGCTTCTTGGTTCTGCTCACATGCTGAGTCCTGTCCTTGTACCCACTCCCCTAAGCCTGGCCTCAGGCTATGTCCTAGGTAGGTGGCAGGCCACCTAGCCTGCCCTGTGAGGTCACAGAGGGGAATGAAGGGGAAAGATGGGTCTTCACTTCCACCCTGCCCACCAGTCACCCGCTGGGTGAGCCTGGCCAAGCCGGTGGCCTCCTGGGTGCCCATTGCGCTTGCTGGTCCTGGCACCGCCTACCAGAAGGAAAAGATGTTCTTCCCAGTTTGCACCTTCCCTAGTTACTGGCTGAAGGGAACGGGACTAGCTGGCCAGAGCCGGCCCTCCATCCCATCACAGCCCCAGGCCCAGGTCCTGGTGCCACTGCCACCCCAGCTCTGCAGGGTCCCGGATGCCCTCAGCCAGCTACCTCCTGAAACCACCCACCCGACCAGGGGGAGGCCTGCTGAGTCACACTGGCCTGAGCCGCGGGGGTAAGGAGGAGAAGCCCGGGGCTTGGAGGCACATGGTGGCTTGACAGAGCCAGGGTCCCCATTAGGAGAGGGATGGGTTAATGGGCATCCTCCAGTGCCCACTTCAGTAGGAATGGAGGGAGCCCACACTTGCCACATCAGTCCATGTGGCCTACATTCTGCACCTGAGCATTCATCTAAAATAGACATGCCTCACAGGGAGGCAGCAGACACAAAAGAGGCATTCGTTCATTCTGTGTACAAATGCTCAGAAACCTGAGGACCAGCCAGGGGACACGGGGGAGGGTGGGGAGTGGACTTGAGATGAGTTCCTGGGGTTGGGGGCCTTCCTGGGTACTCTCCAAGAGCCACAGCCATCTGAGGCTTCTGTCCCTACAAAGTGCCAACTGCCCAGCCACTTTCAGGGTATGATCTACAACTGCTAGAGTGCCTTGTCTAGCGTTACCAGCAGAGGACAGGAAGGCAGTCTGCCCAGCTCCAGAGCAGCCAAGGAGTCCTCTCAGTTCTCTGCTGTAAAGGTTCCAAGTTCCAGCCTTGGCTGAGCTGGCTAAGAACCTCAGGCCCTATAGCTGAGGCTTCCCGCAGCATCCCAGGGGCAGCTGGGCAGCCCTGGCTACTGGCCTCCAGCCACGACATGTCGGCTCTCTTCCAGGATGGACTCAGTGCAGAAGCAAGACCTCCGCAGGCCCAGGATCCACGAGGCAGGGCGGCTGTCCACGTACCAGCCACCCACCCTGGCCACCCTGCAACGCCTGCTGTGGGTTCGCCGATCTGCCACGATGAGCCACGTCAACGAGGTCTGGCCCAACCTCTTCCTGGGAGACGCGTGAGTAGGACCCACAGGAGGAGCGGGCATGGCAAGGGGCTCTGCAGTGCACACGGGGCCTCTCCTCCCCTTCCTGCCGTTGTACTCCACGCTTTCCTCTCCTCTTACAGTCTCACTTTTGACAGGAAACAGAATTCAGATAAAGCGCAGAGAGCACACGTCACTGGCATCTAAGCAGCACCCTGCAGTTAGTGTCACCTGTCCATGAGTTATATGAATGAAAGCATATTGTAGGTGTGTTGTGGCCAGCTTTATTTCCTCAAAATTGTGAGAGGCATGTGTGTTCACGTGTGTCGCTGTAGTCCATTCACTCTCCACCAAGGTGTGATATACAGAAATTTCTCTAAGGTATCTGTGCAGGGAGAATTGCTATTTTTTTCCCTAGGAGTATTCTGTAAAGTTTTCCAAAGAGTATGGGCCAACATACGTAGATGTTACAGATAACTGGCAATTTTTTTTTAAATGCATATACATATTTTCCCACATTTCTTTCTTTACAAAAACAGTATCACTTGATAGTACTACTTTGTGATCTGCTTTTTATACAGAAAGTTTCTTTTTTAAAAAAATGAAATCACACTGTATTCACCCTAAAAACACCTACTTTGGGTCTGGTGTGGTAGCCTGGTAGCTGGAGTCTTCGCATTGCATGTACCAGGATGCCATATAGGCATGTACAGGATCCCATCCCAGTTCTAATCCCGGTGGCCCCATTTCCCATCCAGCTCCCTGCTTGTGGCCTGGGAAAGCAGTCAAGGACGGCCCGGAGCCTTGGGACCCTGCATCTGCCTGGGAGATCTGGGGGAGGCTCCTAGCTCCTGGTTTCGGATCAACTCAGATCTGGCCATTGCAACCACTTGGGGAGTGAATCAACAGATGGAAGATCTTCCTCTCTATATATCTGACTTTCGAATAATAGTAATTAAAAAAAAAACCTGCTAGGTTCTCAGCATAGTATAAACAGTTTGCCAGCAGCTAGGACATTTTAGTGGCTGCGTGGTGTTTCCTCATTGCGACAGCAGTCCTCCATATTCACAGGGAACACATCCCTAGGTCCCCGGGGAATGCCTGAAAAACACACAGCTCCAAACTTATGCGCCTATATTAGCTTCTTATGCAGGGCTACCTGTGGCCTTTTAGATAGTAATTAGGCACAGGAAGAGCTTAACAACAGCTACCACCAGCAGAACAGAATAATCACAGTGATAGATTGAATAGTGCTTACTTGAACACAAGCAATGCAGTCACTTGAGACCCTCAAGAGCTCGTAGTGTGCACGGGGCTGCAGTGTGTGCGGCATGGGGAACATGGCATTCAGGAGAGGTCCAAGGCCTGGGCTGCACAGAGTAGGACGGCGACACAATTTAAAACACAACAGAGTCTTCATTTCTGGAATTTTCCAGTCAGTGTTTTCCGAGCTTGGCCAACTAAGGCAGGAAGTGAAACTACAGATAAGGAGAGGGCTACTGTCCCATACTTAAGCTCCCATAACGGGGTAGCTGGACAGGTTTTTCCCAATTTTTCACAGTCTTAAATACCATTAGTCTCAGTTTACATATGGTTGGGCACTTCTCTCTCCCTTCTCTCTCTCTCTCTCTGCTTTATTGATTTGTCTGTCTAAACAGCAGGGAGAGAGAAAACGGGATCCTCTATTCTCTGGCTAGTCCCCAAAATGGCTGCAACAGCCAGGGCTGGGCCAGGCTGAGCTGAGCCAGATACTCCATTCAGGTGTCCTACATGGGAAACGGGGCTCAAGTACTGGACTATCATTGGCCGCCTCCCAGGTGCATTAGCAGGAAGCTGGATCAGAAGTAGAGCAGCTGGGACTCAAACCAGGATGTTGGCATTGCGGGCAGGACTGAGCCTGCTGTGCCACAATGCCTGCATCTTTGCACAGTTCTGACTGTTGCTAGTAGACCTGCTGGGGCTGAAGCACATTTTATATTTTTAGGCTTCAGATGCATGTTGCCAAGTTGTCCCCCAGGAAAATCAGTCTCAGGAGTGCCCTCATAAGCCTTAGGCCATTTACTGGCTCCAGTTAGTCACAGTGCTAGTGGGGAGAGGTGACTTCCAGGCCAGCCAGAAATGTCCCATCTACCTTCAACTCCAGGTACACAGCCCGGGATAAGAGCCAGCTGATGCAGCTGCGAATCACCCACATCGTGAATGCTGCAGCAGGCAAGTTTCAAGTGGACACAGGTGCCAAGTTTTACCGAGGAATGCCCTTGGAGTACTACGGCATCGAGGCTGATGACAACCCCTTTTTCGACCTCAGCGTCTACTTTCTGCCTGTTGCCCGATACATCCGCACCGCCCTCAATGCTCCCCAAGGTGGGCTTTTGGGGAAGCCCTGGGGCCTGGGGGGCCACGGTGGGCTCTGGGATCACGTGATCTTCAGTAGCACAGAGGGGTGGGGAGCCCTCCAACAGTCCTCCCACCCCATGAAGTCAGCAGCTGCTGCCATCTGGTAAGTGTCCTGTTTGGGACTACCCTGGAACAGTCAGAGACATAAGATCCAAGTAGCTATCAAAGTATATCCAGCAAGATGCCAAGCACAGGCAGGACCCAGCAACAGAGCCACAGCAGGATCCCCTCCAGGGTGAGGCCAGGTACAGGCAGGACCCAGCAACAGCAGCAGAGCAGGACCCCCTCCAGGGTGAGGCCATGGCACAGGCTGCAGGGGCAAAAGAGACTGGCGGGGAGGAAGGCAAGTAGACACCCCTGGAATCTGATGCAAGTATAGAGGAAGGCAGGGGAAGAGGTCAGAGCAAGCCCCTGGGCCAGGAACAGGGAGTCCCAGCATGGATCTTAACTCTGGCGCTCACTTGCTGTGAGATCTTCAGCCAGCCCCTTCTCTCTGTGTCTCAGTTACTGTATCTGGCAATGAGGACAGTGTCGGTATCCTAAGAGGCTACTGTGGGTGGGCTGAAGGCTGGCCAGGGGTGTGTCTTCCTCCCAAAGAGGTGGGTGGTTCAGGAGCAGATGGCTGACGCCAGCTTGGGTCTTCCCGCAGGCCGCGTGCTGGTACATTGTGCCATGGGGGTCAGCCGCTCTGCCACACTAGTCCTGGCCTTCCTCATGATCTGCGAGAACTTGACACTGGTTGAGGCCATCCAGAAGGTACAGGCCCACCGCGATATCTGCCCCAACTCGGGCTTCCTCCGGCAGCTCCAGGTCCTGGACAACCGGCTGGGCCGGGAGACGGGGAGGCTCTGACACAACAAGCAGCCCTGCAGTCTCACCCTCCAGCCAGCACAGCCCAACTCAACCAGCCTGGCCCTGAGGGCAGCATCCTTTGCTGTCTCCAGGGATCCTGGGATGTAAAGAGCAAGCAAGGGCTTAACTAAGGCAGAGATAAGGAGAGCTGGGAGTGAGTGACCTGAAGCAGGTGGATTTCCCTAACCCAATCCAGAGATTCTTTATGCAAAATAGTTGATTGTGTCTCTATAATAAAAGGTTCATCCAACTTAAGATAGGAATTTTCTGGTGGTTTATAAGACAAGGGCTTAGTCCCAGGATGGCAACCAGATAGCAGACGGCTTTGCTTTGCTAAGGACAGAGTCTGAGACTGTTTTGAGGCTTAGTGCAGAAGAAAGGCAAATGGGGACCGATTCATGATGTCTACCTTGAGCTTGAGAGAGAGGGGCTGGGCTACAGGTGCTGATGCTTAGAAGACCTCTGCCTTGCCTTGTCCTCCTCCTACTTTTGCAACCCTACAGCAGTTAGGTGGTCTGACTGATGCCTCATCACCCTTCTCACGCCCACCTGCCCAGAGCTGATCATCAACACTTTGCACAAACAATGTCTCTTGGAGCCAGCCAGTCTGCATTTGCACTCTACTAAAAGGCCTACTAACACCAACACCCAAAACCAGAGGCATTCCACAAGAGGACAGGGACTGGCAAGGAGACACACCAGCAGAGCAGCCCAAAGGACATTCTGTGACAAGATAAACCATTGAGCTTCGTGCTCGCAGGTCCTCATGCTCTCATGCAACAGCAGACAAGAAAGCTCCCTCTAGAATGATGAGGGCTGGCTCGCCTCTCAGCCCTGGCTGATCCTAGTTGCCCTGCCTCCTCTGACCAGTTCTGGAATGCCAAGGTTTCTCAGAGTTCAACCCTTGGTCTCTTCTCTCCCTTGTGCTCATGTTCCCCTGGGCATGGTCTTGCTCCATGGCCTCTAAGTCAGTGCCTCCCAGACAAGGGTTGGCTTACATTGCTCCCTGAGCTCAAGACTCCTCAACCCACTGGCCACATCCACTTGAACTTCAGGCTCACCTGGACTATGCATCAGCCCACATCTGTGATCCACTCCTGTTCCTGGTTGTCTTTTAGTGCAGGGCTGATAGCCACTGTGCCCAAGTCAGTGATGGGTGTCATTCTGGATGCCTTCTAACTACCTTCAGATCTGCTCACAGAACTGCATCTTTGTTATAACTGTCCAAGTTCAAACCGTCCCTGCCTCTTGCTCAGGTTCTTGCTACAATGCCCTTGTCATTTCCCTGCCTCTAAACGGAATCCCCCACCATGTCACCCTTCCACTGAGTCCCCTAACCCCACGACAGAGGGTTAAGGTACCCCCACATTTCCAGCTATTCTGCAACTCTGTTCCCAAGCTGACTCTGCAACTCAGAAATGGTGACTCCATCTGTGGTTCCTAGGATGCACCTCGCTCTTTCCCTTGCACTGCATGGCACCACCCCACCCTGCCTCAAAGGGGCTCAACCCACTTAGACGTCACTTCTGAGAGATCTTCCTGGAGCCCCTTGGCCTGAGGGGAATGTTATTCCTTGTACCCCCTCACTGTGGTAAGGCCTTTCACTGTGAACTACAATCGCTCTGTACCCTCTGATCTCTCCCCAGCTGCCTAACTCTGTCCAGGGAACACTCAAGGTGCCCCTGGTTCCCAGGATGTCTGGCTACAATCTACCTAAGGTACCTGGGCTTCTCTCCAGAGGCCACCAGCGGGAGGGGATTTCAGCAGGTCCAGCTGGCTTCACCGCTGGCAGCCTCTCACTGTTTGGGTTCCTGGGATGCCCTCTTTCCAGCATTTCCTATTTCTCTGGAGTCCTTTTCCTCTGCCTCTGGGCCAGCTCTGCCCTCTCCTGGGAACTGAAGGGGCTTTGCCTTCTCTGCAATCTGTTCTCTTTTGGGAGAGCCAAGTGCTTTTCCCTTTGTGCAAATTTGAACAACAACAATAAAAAAAAAGTGTCCCTCTGAGCAAACTGGCCCTAGAGGCAGCAGCTGCCCTGCCTCCTCCCATGTGAACACAGCCCCGTGTCAGGGCACCCACCTGGGCGAGCCGATCACTGGCTGGGTCTCAGCTCCCAGTCTTCCCTTCTGTGATTCACAAAGTATCTCGCTGTGGATTCAGAGACCATTTTACAATTGAACATACTGAGGCTCAGAGGCAACAGGGCTGGGTCTCCTGGACGGTCAGAGTGTAGGCCCTGTCCAATCAGCTCTTCTGCTCACCTCCCCACTACCCTGGGCCTCATGCCCACATGCTGCCCGGGCTGCTCCCTTCGGGGGATATGCACACATCCGAGCTGGAGGACAGCAGCTTAGTAACAGGGCCCCGGCAGGGTCCCTCTCACCCCAGGAGTAGAAGTGGCTGCTTCTGTCCTGGGTTGGCAAGGCCTGTCACTCTGCACAGCTCCCCTGGACTTCCCCATGCCATAGCCAAGTCCCTGCTTGACAACTTAGTCATTGTTGCTAATTTCTGCTCATGCACAGTCAGCAGGATAGGGGCTCTAGGAGTCATCCACAGGGGCTCTAAGTTTTCATCCACAGGTTTCAGCAGGTCACCTACCTGGGGCTCTGCTCAGAATCTGTGGCTGCAGGAAAGCAGGTAGGGAAGCCACAAGGAGCCAGGTGTCAGGAAAACTGCGCATTCCCCAAGAGCTGAGGAATCAGACATCCTGCTCCAGGCTGGCACCCTTGCTTGGGGGAAGTCGATGGCAGGGAGCCCCTCTCCCTCTGCTCAAGAGCAGCCTCATAAGAGGAGGCAGAAAGCATGGCGGACAGTGCACCCTGGGAGCCAGGTTCCCTCAGTTCAAATCTTGTGTTGGCCCCTTACTATATGTGTGCCTGCGGTGACTCTCCTCCTGCCTTTGTTTCCCTGTGGGTAACAGCCGCCACCAGGCAGCCTGCCTTAGTTTCCCTGTGGGTAACAGCTGTCACCAGGCAGCCTGCCTTGGTTTCCCCGTGGGTAACAGCCACCACCAGGCAGCATTGCTGGCTGGGCTGAGTGGGACCTGTCGAATGTACTCTGCAGGCTTTGTTGAATCCTGAGAAACACCTGCTGTGAGTGTCCTCATGGCACTGGCTGCTGCCCGGCCCCAGTCCTGGCTAAAGGTTGGCAATGTTCTCAGTGTGTCACTGTGGGCATGGCTGACCTTAAGGTGACACAGTATCCCAGACTGGATCCTGAAAAGGAAAGAGATGGGAAAACTGGGGAAATCAGAATAACATTTGTGATTTGGTTAATGCTTAGGGCATGCCATCAATGCTGATGTCTGTTTGATAAATGTAGCATGGTTATATATGAAGCTGACATCCGGGAAAGCTAGGTGAAGTATTTAAGAACCATCTAGTATCTTTGTAAGTTGGCTGTAAATCCCAAGTTATGCTAAAATAAAAATCATCTAACAAGTACTGTCTTGCAGCACTCCAGGTATGCCATATATTTTTTCCCTCATTCTCATCCATAATGTTTCATTTTTCAGAAAAATCATGGATCTAATAGGGCAAAATGTTAAGGTTTGGCCATACTGAGTTACAGGACTATGGACGGGTTTCTTCTTCTACTTTAAGTAAATATTACAGAATATTTAAAAGTAAAAATAAACAAATCTAACTAACTAGTAAATTAGAAACATCTTCTTTATATACTTAGATTTTGAAACCTACCACATCAAAAAATTTCAAAGAATTCCGAATTAGGACCATTATGACCAGGCTTCAGGCATGGAATACTAAGAATTCACATGCTATCCTTTCAAAATCTGCTAGAAGCTTCATTATGAATGATCTTGCTTCAAATAAGTAAATAAATAAATTAGAGGGCCCGGTGCAGTAGTCTAGCGGCTAAAGTCCTTGCCTTGCATGCACTGGGATCTCATACGGGTGCCAGTTCTAATCCTAGTGGCCCCACTTCCCATCCAGCTCCCTTATTGTAGCCTGGGAAAGTAGTGGAGGATGGCCCAAAGCCTTGAGAACCTGCACCTACATAGGAGACCCGGAAGCGGCTCCGGGCTGCTGGCTTTGGATTGGTGCAGCTCTGGCCATTGCAGCTGCTTAGGGAGTGAATCAATGGACCCAAGATCTTCCTCTCTATATTTATTGACTTTTCAATAAAAATAAGATAAATCTTAGAAAAAGCCAGATATATGGAGAGGAGGAGAGGCAGAGAGGAAGATTTTGTGTCCGATGGTTCATTCCCCAAGCGGCTGCAACAGTTGGAGCCGAGCCAATCCGAAGCCAGGAGCTTCTTCCCGGTGTACGGGCGCAGGGTCCCAAGGCTTATGGGCCGTCCTCGACTGCATTCCCAGGCCACAGGCAGGGAACTGGATGGGAAGTGGGACCGCTGGGATTAGAACCGGCACCCATATGGGATCCCAGCACGTTCAAGTTGAGGACTTTAACCACTACGCTATAGTGCCGGGCCTGGGACTTGCTTGTTAAAAGGCAGCAGCAGAGCAACATCCTGGGATGTTGCCTCAATCGTCAGATTTCTGGCTCACTCAGAATGTGCTCTTGGGGAACCCTGAGGCACCACACACAACATCTGACTCCCCAGAGACCACCATGATGCAGTACTCACAGTGGGCTAATTGGTGACCAGCCACAGCCGACCCTGGACACTGGCCATTTCAGTAAGTCCTGCTTAGACCTTACAGATCAGCTCATCTCCCAGCTAGATATCAAGTGACCTCTGCCACAGGTCCATCTGTGCTCCACCTGCATTAACAACCCATGGATGAGAAATAAAGAAAACGCCCTCGTATTGAGTCACTAAATTTGAGAAATCTGTCAAGTGTCAAAAGATAACCAGCATGCAGATGACCAGATCTGACTAGTACCCCTGGCTTTAAATGAGTCTCTAGAGGAACAAGTGAAAGGGGAAAGGACAGAGTGGCCATGTTATTCACCCCTGTGCCAGAGTGCAAAGATAAGGCCTGTGTCTACAGAGAAATATGGAGAGCCATAGGGCCCTACCTGGCGTCTGCCCAGAGCCCACAGGATGTGAGGAGCGACTGTTAGGGCCCCAGAGAAACACCGGTAGTAAAGGTCTAGAGTGTGCAAGATCTTTGAGATGCCCAGCTCCGTTCTAAGCTTCCACTGTTCCACTTTCCTTCCTGGCCAACAGCCTGATGCACAGAG